TCCTAATACTGGTACAAGTGACTTCCATTTCAGTCGTATGACCAGTTTTTGGCGGAAAGCAAATCACACTTTCTCTATCAAAAATTTGACATGCAGGGCGTGATGTGACCAATGGCGTCTGCTATAGCAAACTCAGTAAATCTATAGGAAAATTCTGATTTCCCCCCAAATACGATTTTATAGACCGAAAACATTGTTCACAGATATTATACTGGGGATCGTATGGTGGTTGAAAAATTAGGTGCACTCCTTGCTGTTGTAATAAATGTTCCAAATTAGGTTCGACAATCCTGGCGTGATGAAAACCACAATTATCCTTGATTGCACAATATCCCGGTGCCAAACAACGATTTCCAACGTGGTCTTCTACATTGACTGCTTCAAAGAAAAAGTTCATCATTTCTATAGCATTGGAAGGTCCAACAATGATATCAGATTGTTCGACACCAAATATACTTGTAAGCAGGTTTATTGTGTAATTAATATTAGACGCAAACCGCTGTATTTCTGTCGCCGGTGTACCAATTTCTGCATGCCCGTAACGCCGGTTTCCAGTAGTACGAATGACAGACGCCTCGTCAAACCAGTGCAGCTGTTCTGGTCTAAAATCAGAAATGTTGCAATTACAAGATCGTAGGAAGCAAAAAATACTAGTATTTGGTCCGGCCATCCATCGAGGTCCGAGGCGTATGTTGACGTGGGCCTAAGGACCACGTCTGCTAGGGGGCGTGCAGAAGTGGTTTGGCCATAGTCGGTATCGCCATTGCGGTTCCTACGGCCTTGAATTATAGGTTTTAACTTTTTCCTCGTCATGTTTAGGTGGTGAATAAGTCCCCGGTAAACCATGGATGAACTGGAGTCATCGTGGCACACATTATCTTGGCGTAACTTTGACTGAATTTCACGCCGATAAATACTAGGTTGTCGCCGTTTATAAAATTCATTATGCTGTAAATGCCAGTCAAGCATGTTATGTTACATGTTTTCGTCCGTGCTTCCCAGCTGAAACATCACCGCTAGTAATAAGTTTAGTGCATATATTATTCGCAGTACTTTTTGACACCCTAGTTTGTTGTGCAAATTGACTACACGACAGCCAATTTAAATAAAGTTCAACAATTTTCTGTCGTACACTAAATTGTGTGTCGAATTATGAGACTGCATTTTGTCACCAAATTACATGTACTCCCGACTTTCCCGCGTTATATGCTCTGGGTGTCTGGACACACACAAACGTAACATTTTATGTAAATGAGTTGAGTACAGACAGTTATACATTGTATCAAACATGTTTAGGCTACAGTTATAATGTTTTGATTAGTAGGGATAAAATCAGTGGCAATTTCATTAGGTACTTGCTCTGATCACAGTCCCTCAACACCCGGTTAGGAAACGCTACGGATTCGAACGGCACAATGCGTGTTTCGCGTTCGTACAGTTCGGATGCCCTCAGCCTGTTACTTTTTGCATTAGCATAAAATTAGCATAAGATATGACATCATTTGAATTTCAGCGCATGCGTATATGTTTTGTTTTGATTCACTTTATCGTCTGGCAAATTCACTTCCTGATTAGAATAATTTTTATAATTACAACGCAATGTGGCAAAAACACGACGATTTCGTCGATTTTGATGACAGTAACATCGATTGTGCGATATTTTAGAAGAACAGGAGACCATGGTTCTGCGGGAGCTGACGAGAAGTCTCAGCTGTTGAATC